AAGAGATTGTTATCAAGTGAAGAACTCAACTAGTAGGTTGGGGTCGATCCCATCAAGAAAATGATTTAGACTTAACTTTAACCCACGATAATCTCTTTTTAGTCGAGGTATTTCCGAAGCAATTAATAAGGGGGAGGGGGTTGTGAAACAAGTTCCTTCAATTATGTGATTATCAAGTGAACAAAATAAAACTTTGGTTGTTATCAATATGAGAAAATAACTAGGGTATGTGTGTTCCCCATAAGTTCATTGTTGACACCCAATTTTGGCCTATCATTTTCAAAATTCGTGACTTAATTTATTTAATTGTTCAAAATAATTTATTTATTTATTTTTTATAATTTTTAATAAGTTTATTGATAACTATCATTATTTCTCAAATTTAGAATTTTGTATCAGTTAATTTTAAAATAACATTGTTTACATGTCATTAGTTGCGTTCATTATATTTTTTTAGTAATCATCTTATTTGTTACAATGGTTGATATTTATTTTGATATTCTGCTCAGTCTAAGAATTTTTTCAAATATAGATAAAATTTGCACCGATAATTTTGGACCACAATTTCAATCATACACATTTTAGCCCTCTTCCTTTTCCCACCTTTTCAACCCAAAAAACCCACCTCTATTTATTACCATTTTCCAGCGCAACAACTACCCACTTAGCCCCTTTCCTTCACTCTTCCAGCATCTAAAAACGACCAGACAAACACCAAAATCCTCCGGCAACCTTCAAATTGAACCCCGACCAGCCCACATTTTTTCAATAACCAACAGGTTACTATCGTTCAACGCAACCAGTAGCTCTGATGAATCAGAGCTAAACAACAAAAAATCCCTTCCCCTTCCCCTTAACATTTTTTTTCATTTTTTAGGTGTTTCCGGTCAAGCTCCGACCAACAAGCAACAACCAGCCCATCCGAACATCAGCGAACGTTCAACAACCAACCAAGAAGGCATGGAAACATGCCTGAGAATTAGCCAGATATGTCCAGAAAAAGCTTTTATTTGTGACATTTCTCATTTTTACTGTTTTGTATATAAGCATATATGTCGGTATATTTCATGTTTCTATTATATATATATATTCCTTATTTTTACACATATTATTATGGTGAATTATTTGTTTTTGTTTGTGGTTTTGAATGTTAATTTTATCACTATTTCTAACAGTTCGTTAATTGTCTTGATTGTTTTCATAAGCCACTTTATTAGTGTTCTCTTGTGATAAATTTTAGTTTTAACCGAAAGTTGTATGATGAGTCTGACTATTACTAATTTTGTTAATGACTTTGGGTACATGTATTCCTGCTTTTATCTTCTTGACAAATAGTTTGAATATTTTATGTGTTCATGGGTTGTTGCTATGTTATTTTCTAATTATTGCCATATTAAATATTATGTTGCAATTGTCTTAAGACTTGGAAGGGATTTAATAGTAGTTTGAATTTTGATGAGTATATGTTAATAGTATTTTATCATTCTATTTGTTGCTATTTTAACTGTGTATTGCTCCCTCTTAGTTCTAATATATATTAAATTGTTATTTTATGTACATCTTATTTCTTTTTGATTTATTCTTTCCATGTATAACAATTAATAGATTGTTCCTTTTTGCATTGTTGACTAATAGTATCTTGCTCCATTTGTTTTGTTACTATTAGGTCTTAATTCATGTTTATTATTGATTATTTTATCATTTGTGAATGGATATTTTATTTGTTTATTGTTGATAATGTTTATATCTTTGACTATTTTATTGTTTGTTAGCACCTGAAAAAATCTCTCCGTCAATTTTTTGGCCTTTTCAATATTAAAAGACGGAAATTTAGTTTAAGTTCATATTATTTATTTTGCTAAAATTGGTCGATGAAGAAATTACCATCGATTCTAAGGTCTCCCATGTTAGTGAGACGAGTTTTATTTTTAAGTTATTATTTGAGTTATTCATTTTTTTATATTCATTTAGTACTAACTCTTTTACTAAGTGTCGTTACAAGTACACCAAGGTTCTTTCGATCGAAGTTATTCGAATAAATTCAAATTATAATTGTATTTATTATTGTATATATTATTTGCGATAGAAAAACTTAGGCCATTTCTTACTATTGTTTTATTTTATTATTTGTATATATTGCATTCTTATTATACTTGTTTATAATTTTGTTTCTTCCTCAATTTTAAAAATTGAATTCAGTCGAGACCATATTTGTGGATTTCGAAGGGTGGCTAACACCTTCACTTAATTGTTTCTTAGTTTTTTTCTAAAATTAGGTGGCGACTCCTTTAAAATTCATTTATTTCTTAAAACTCTTTTAAAATTGAATCAATTGATAATTTTTTGAGTCACCACGACGTTTCACCCTATTTGAATAGAATAGGGATGTAGAAGAATGGAGACTCTGCTGGGGACATAGAGGTTCTAACCAATATGAATTCATTTTTTCAAATTGAGGAGTGTTTTCTTTTACTGTATTATACCTTATATTTTGTATATTTTGTTGATTATTTGTATATTGTAATGGTTGTTTATTCATTATTCATTTAATTGTATACATATCATCATTGCATTTCGTCACATAATTTCTGTCAAGTGACAAATAGAATACATTAGGATAAAAGCGATTACGTGGTTTTCCACAACTGTCCTTCAAAAAATCCCCTTTGAATTCTTTTGAAGTGATAAACGAATAGTTGACTTGTGTTCATCTAACGATGTTTATTATACTTCACCCCCTAATTTGTCCGACTCAGGTAACCAGGTCTTTTCTAAACCACTCTTAATTAGCTAGCGTAGAGAGAAAAACACCAAATCTCAATTTCTATCACATTTTGAACTAAGTCGAACCAACACCCAAGGCGTGTTGGGCCCATTAGAGGCCCTCCTTGTGTCTATTTGGCCTATTGATCAATAAAAGACAAATCAAAATTATGTGTTTAAATTTGAAGGATGTATAAGACATTTGACAAATCATTGTCACTCGGGGTTGGGGATTTATTTTAATGGCTTACTCTTGTTGAATGAATATTTTCACAAGTTAACATTTCATCCAAAAGGTGTTGGCATCCAAAGATGACAAATGATTCAAGAAGTAAGGAAGGGCCTTCTAGAAGGTTTAGTTAGAATTAAACCCCTACGTAGGATTGATTATTTGTATTATCTTTTTCTTCTTTTCCTTATTTGGTAATCCTATTTGAATCATTCATAAAATTTGTAATGCAATGATATGTTATCAAAGGACGTAATTCATCTTTCATATCGATAGGTGTACCCTTGGCATAAAAGGGTCACATATTTGTATAGGACGTGTATGTAATAATTTTTTGTATGCTATGTGATGTAATTGAGTTGTCTTTAATTAAAAATAGTGCTTAAGTGTTAATTAATTCTTGGTGTGATGTTTGCATTATCCATTATGAACACAAGCTAACACTTTTACCTTTTGAGTTTTTCTTCTCTTTAAGCTAGAGATTGATTTATGTTAGAATTTGAAAGTCATTGTTCGTAAGAAATCGCAATAGACAAGAGGACTCACAATATCTCATTTTTTGTATTTCACAAGACATCAATATCGAGTCAAAAAGACTAATCAGGGGAGTCATTGACTATGAAGTCACATTTCTTTATTTTATTTGTTTTTTTATTATTCTGGTCTTGCTTTCACACATTTCTTATATTTTAGTAGGAAAACCATCCTTGAAAATAGTTGGGGATGGTCATAACAATGCATTTCGTGAATAATTGGGAGAAGAAACAATTCCAAGGGACATTTAGAAAAGAATACAACAACAAGTGGTTAATGCGAGAAAAAGAAAAAGAAAAAAAACACATTCAATAGATAGTACAAAGGTTCACAGTTAAGAGGATACAAAGAAATGTTTTGAGTTTGTCTAAATTTTAAAATTATATGATGTCACATATGCAGGAACTATGCATACCTGATTTTAATCTTTTTTGAGATACGTAGGCAACCCTACTTGGGTTCGGTATTCAATATTTCAAGTTAAAAAAAATTGTGCATATATTCAAAGAGATATCTGAACGAACTACGCGAACCTGATTCTCATTTCTGTGAGATACGTAGACATTCCTACTTGGGTTCGGTATTCAATATTTCAAGTTAAAAAAATTGTGCATATATTCAAAGAGATATCTGAATGAACTACGCGAACCTGATGCTCATTTCTGTGAGATACGTAGGCATCCCTTCTTGGGTTTGGTATTATTTTTTCCAAAGTAAAAAAAATAATAAAATAGTTTGTGCATATTTTTATAGGCATTATGGAGAGGATTGACTTTATGGTAAAACGTAGATGCTTGAAATTTCTTTTGCATGCATTCAAGATAAGAATAAAACCAACCTTATGTTTTTATGGAGAGGATTGACTTTATGGTAAACCGTAGATGCTTGAAATTTCTTTTGCATGCATTCAAGATAAGAATAAAATCAACCTTATGTTTCATGTGCATTGTGTGGTGCGAATTTAGAGCAAAATTCAATTGTATCGCAATGTTGATCTAAAACATGGCATGAATCTCATCGAGGCGAAATCCTGAGTAGTCTTTAGTTTGAAAAAGGATTTTAGGCCTTTTTTGACCCGTTATGCCTTTCAAAGCCTACCAAATGACATAAATCCCTAGTTTTTCCACTTTGAGCCTGAAACCTTTCATTGAACAACCAGATTTTAGCCATTACCTCTTTGAGTTTTTACATGCACTATCCTTCACTTGGCCCAGCCTTCTTGAGTGCACCAAGAATCTGCAAGTTATAAGAGAACATCCATGTTTGAATTTCCAAAAGCAAAGATATCGATTCTCCAAAAGTCAAGGAAATAAAAAAGACTTCTAGAGAAAGAAAGAAAGAAAGAAAGAAAGAAAGAAAGAAAAAAGGTGAAAGAAATAAAGAAAGATAAAAATACCCCTACAAGGTCAATAAAAAAAATACTCCAATAAAAGAGGAGAAAAATTCAAAGAAAAGAGTGAAATAAAAGAAATGATCCAAGAAATGAGGACTTAAAAGAAGTCAAAAGAAAGGGGTGAAATAAAAGAAAAACTCCAAGAAATAAGGATTAAAAAACATTGAAACAAAGGGGGTGTGGAAAAAAGAAGAAAAAACTCTGAAAAATGAGAATTCAAAAAAAGTCGATAAAGGGGGAGGACAATGAAGAGGATCTAACGCCAAAGGCGTATTAATCATTAAGGTCACAAATTCAATGTGACGCTCAAGGAGGAATTAAGTCACTCTTATCCCAAATAAATATCTTACCCATCCCTAAGCCTACGTTACAAATCAACTCCCAAATTTCCAGCAGTTTTATGGCGAGCCAGCAGCTTCTCATACAAATACCCAATAAAACATCAGTTTCAAAGAACATAAAGTGTTCAAGAGAAAAATGACACTTTGTACATATTCTCTTGTGGATCTTTCCTTAAATTTTATTAATCATGTTGCTAGCTATAGTGATATTGTGTATTCTAACTGTTCCTTTTCGAATAAAAGGAAACACGGAGACATCAAGATGATGACATTTTCAAGACATATAAGTCATCCACCTCGTAACAATGGAAAATCATTGGGTCATCCATCAGTTACATTTTCATTGCTTTTTTTTCATTTTTTAAAGGATAATTGCATTTTTCATTTGCCAAGAAGGTCATTGCATTTTTCATTTCCCGAAAGAATAATTGCATTTTTCATTTGCCAAGAGGTCCATTGAAATTTTTATTTACTGAAAATGTCATTACATTTTTCATTTTTCGAAAGGATAATTGCATTTTTATTTGCCAAGAGGGTCATTGTATTTTTTATTTACCAAAAGTTCATTACATTTTTCATTTTCTGAAAGAATAATTGCATTATTCATTTGCCGAGAAGGAATTTGCATTTAAGTCGCACCTATTCAGAGGTGAAGGATGTGTGTCCTATCTTTGCAACGTTCAAGTTGGTGGAAACTTGCATTGAAACATACTTCCATTTAAGCCGTATCTATTCGATGGTGAAGTATGTGCACCCTATCTTTTCAACGTTCAAGTCGGTGGAACTTGCGTTGAAAGATGTTTGCATCCAAGTCACATATATTATGAGGTGAAGGATGTGAGTCCTATATTTTCAACGTTTTAGTTGGTGGAAACTTATGTTGAAAGATATTTGTATTTTAAGTCGCATCTATTCGGTGGTGAAGGATGTGCAACCTATCTTTTCAATATTCAAGTAGGTGGAACCTTGCGTTTAAAGATATTTGTATTTAAGTCTTATCTATTCGGTGGTGAAGGACATGCAACCTATCTTTCAAACATTCAATTAGGTGGAAACTTGCGTTGAAAGATATTTGCATTTAAGTCGCAACTATTCGGTGGTGAAGGATGTGCGCCCTATCTTTTCAATGTTCAGTTCGATAGAAACATGCATTAAAAGATATTTGATTTAAGTAGCATCTATTAGATGGTGAAGGATGTTCACCTTATCTTTTCAACGTTAAAGTCGATGGAAATTTGCATTGAAAGATACTTGCATTTAAGTCACATCTATTTGAAGGTGATGGTGATGTGCACCATATCTTTTCAACGTTCAAGTCGGTGGAAAATTGCGTTGAAAGATATTTGCATTTACATTTATTTGGTGCTGAAGGATGTGCACCCTATCTTTTGATCATTCAAGTCAGTGGAAACTTGTGTTGAAAGATAATTGCATTAAAGTCACATCTATTTGGAGTTGAAGGATTTGCACACTATCTATTCAAAGTCCAAGTCGGTGGAAACTTGCATTGAAAGATATTTGAATTTAAGTCGCATTTATTCTGAGGTGAAGGATGTGCACCCTATCTATTTCGCTTCAAGTCAGAAGATATTTGCGTCGAAAGGATTGCTATTTGTCCTACCGATGGACATACATTCAAAATCCTACCGATGGATTATCTTTTTTTCATTCGTCCTTTCAATAGACGTACCGATGGATCATCTTTTTTTTATTCATCCTACCGATGGACATGCATTCAAAACCCTACCGATGAATCAACTTTTTTCATTCGTCCTATCGATGGACATACATTCGAAAACCTATCGATGGATCATTTTTTTTCATTTGTCCTACTGATGGACATACAATCAAAATCCTACCGATTGATCATCTCTTTTTTCATTTCTCCTATCGATGGACATACATTCAAAATGCTATCAATAAATCATCATTTTTTTCGTTCATCCTACCAATGGACATACATTCAAAATACTATTAATGGATCATCTTTTTTTCATTTGTCCTACCAATGGAAATATATTCAAAATCCTACCGATGGATCATCCTTTTCCATTCGTCCTATTGATGGACATACATTCAAAATCCTACCGATGGATCATATTTTTTTCATTTATCCTACCGATGGACATACATTAAAAATCCTGCCGGTGATCATTTTTTTATTTTTCCTACCAATGGCCATACGTTCAAAATGTTATTGATTGATCATATTTTTTCCAACGTCCTATCGTTGGACATACATTCAAAATCCTACAGATGGATCATCTTTATTTTTTCATTTCTCCTATCGATGGACATGCATCCAAGATCCTACTTATGGATCATCTTTTTTTTTCATTTCTCCTACCGATGGACATACATTCAAAATCCAATCGATGGATCATCTTTTTTTCATTTGTCCTAACGATGGGTATACATTTAAAACCCTACTGATGGATCATCATTTTCTCATTCGTCCTATCGATGGACATACATTCAAAATCCTACCTATAGATCATCTTTTTTTAATTTGTCCTATTGATGGACATACATTCGAAATCCTACCGATGGATCATCCTTTTTTTATTCGTTCTACCGATGTACAGACATTCAAATTCCTACTAATGGATCATGTTCTTTTCATTTGTCCTACCGATGGACATACACTTAAAATCCTACCAATGGGTCATATTTTTTCACTTGTCCTAACTATGGATATACATTCAAAATCCTACTGAAGGATCATCATCTTTGTATTTGTCCTATCGATGGACATATACTCATATCCTACCGATATATCATCTTTATTCGTCATATCGATGGAAATGAATTTATTTCCTTCCAATTGATCATCTCCACTCATCGTATCGTAAGAGATACTACCCTTTTTCTTTTAATTTCTTCCATACTAATGAGTTTTATCTGGGTTTTTTTAGAACATCCAAGAGGATGCATACTCGGTGGAGCCATATGTGTGGACTACTTCAACAAGGATGCAACACAATTTGGAACCTTTTGGATGCAAGTCTGGGATCGACTTTCACCACATTTTTATATAACGGGCATGTGTTCGACCAAAATTGGTTTTGTCACTTTTCGTTGTCCACAATTACTATTATCAATCATATTGAACGAAAGGGACAATTGTTGACACCCAATTTTGGCACAATATTATCTCAATTCATGACTTATATACATTTAATAGTTCAGAATATTTTCTTTTGATAATTTTAAATAAATTTATTGATAATTATCATTATTTATCAAATTTAGAATTTTGTATCAGTTAATTTTAAAATTACATTTTTTACATGTCATTAGTTGTGTTTATTATATTTTTTTAGTATTCATATTATTTGTTACATTCGTTGATATTCATTTTGATATTCTGCACAGTCTAAGAATTTATTCAAATATGGATAAAATTTAAACCAGTGATTTTGGGTCACAATTTCAAGCCCACATATATAAGCCCATTACATAATTATCTTTCTTTATAAGTTTATTTAGGTCAAAAAGAGGGGGAATACAATATTAGGGATAAGAATTTAGAGAATCTTCACAACTTTTTATTGATAAAAAAGGGTCTCCTTTCCGGCTAACATTCAGCCAGTCACCACCACCCCATCACTACCCGGGTGAAGTGAAGACATACTGCAGTAACCCTTTCTCATTTTTTTCCGGTGAGAACAACCGCCAAACCATATCCCAAACACCACCTATGTTTTCTTTCCGGCTGATCAACCATTTGTTTTTATCGGAGAAAAGCACCCACCAAATGACCCCAAAAACACCCCTGAAAACACCTCCAAAATGTCATCCAAATTGACCCTCTTCCTTTTCTCACTTTTCCAACCCAAAAACTCACCTCCGTTTATCACTATTTCGAGTGCCATAACCACTAACCCAGCCCCTTACCTTCACTCTTCCAGCATCTGAAAATGATCAAACCACCACCGAAATCCTCCGACAACCTTCAACTTGAAAAACCAAAACCCCTTTCCTCTAAGCTCCCAAACCACGACCAGACCCGCTTTCCTCTGAGCTCCCAAACCAACAGGTCACTACCGTTCTATGCAACTAGTAGCTCCAACAAGGATCTCAAAGCTCCGATGAACAGGAGCTAAACAGGACAAAACCCCTTCCCTTCCCGTTAACAATTTCGTTCATCTTTTTATATTTTTCCTGTCAAACTCCGACCAACAAGCAATAACCAGCCCATCACAACTTCAGCAAACATTAAGCAACCAACCAAGAAGGAATGGAAACACGCCTGAGAATTAGCCAAATCTGTTCGAGAAAAGCTATTGTAGGTGACATTTCTCATTTTTACAGTTTTGTATATATGCATATATGTCAGTATATTTCATGTCTCTATTATTATATTGTATTTATAATTATTCTTTCTAATATTGTTTGATTGGATCAACATGGGTCTTGTATTATTATGGTGAATTATTTGTTTAGTTTGTTGTTTAGAATGTTATTTTTTATCGCTATTTCTAGAAGTTATTCAAATGTCTTGATTGATTTTTATAAGCCACTGTTGTTAGTGTTCTCTTTTGGTAAATCCTTTCTTTATTTTTTTTATTATTTATTCTTAAAACTCATTATGCATTATGTTGGTTTTGTGGGCTGTTCATTATTTTATTCAATTTTAGCTTTAATCAAAGTTGTATGATGACATTGGCTATTACTAATTTTGTCAATGACTTTGGGTACATGTATATGTGCTTTATCTTCTTGACAAATAGTTTGAATAATTTACGTGTTCATGGGTTGTTGCTATGTTATTTTCTAGTGATTGTCATATTAAGTATCATGTTGCAGTTGTATTAAGCCTTGGATGGGATTTCATAGTATTTTGAATTTTGACGAGTATATGTTAGTATTTTATCATTCTATTTATTGTTATTTTTAAATGTGTATTGCTCCCTCTTAGTTATAATTTATATTCAATTGTTATTTTATGCACATCTTAATTCATTTTGATTTATTCTTGTCATGTATAACAATTATTAGATTGTTCCTTTTTTGCATTGTTGACTAACAATATCTAGCTCCATTTGTTTTGTTATTATTAGGCATTGCTTCATGTTTATTGTTGCCTATGTATCATTTGTTAATGGATATTTTATTTTTCTATTGTTGATAATGTTTAAATCTTTGACTATTTTATTGTTTGTCAAAATTGACCAATGAAAAAATCTGTCACTTTTCGAGGCCTTTTCAATATTAAAAGACGGAAATTTAGTTTAAGTTTAGGTTATTTATTTTGTTAAAACTGGCCGATGAAGAAATTACCGTTGATTTCTTAGGTCTCTCATGTTTGTAAGATGAGTTTTATTTTTAAGTTATTATTGAGTTATTCATTTTTATTTATATTTATTTAGTACTAAATCTTTTACTAAGTGTCTTTACACCAAGTTGCTTTCCATTGAAGCTATTCGAATTGTAATTTTATTTATTATTGTGTATATTATTCGCAATAGGCAAACTTAGGCTGTTTCTTACTATTGTTTTATTTTATTATTTGTGTATATTGCATGCCTATTATATTTGTTTATAGTTTTATTCCCTTTTCAATTTGAAAAAAAAATGAATTCAGTCGTGACCCACATTTGTGGATTTCGAAACTTGCTTAACACCATCCCTTCAGAATAACCTCAACCCTAACCTAGAATCTAATGATTTTATAGATCATATAATGGTTTCCTAGTTTTTTCCTAAAATTAGGGGGCGACTCCTTTAAAATTAATTTATTTCTTTAAACTCTTTTAAAATTGAAATAATTGATTATTTTTTGAGTCACCATGACATTTTGCCCTATTTTAATAGAGTAGGGATGCAAAAATTTATAACGTTGTCTTCCTAGTAATAACAATCCTTTCCTAGTGTATTACATGCAAATTAATAAGTTGGGTATCTCTAAATTCTTGGTAAGACATCTAGCGAATTTCACCCCACACCTTGGTCCGGCTACGCCTGTATAATTTACTAACCCTTACCATTAAATCATATACGACATCATAATCAATGTATGGCTTAGTTATTACTTTGCACCAATCGACACTAGCCTATCTAATGTCACACTAAATCTATGTTGATAATTCTTTTCTTATTAACTACCTCGTTGGTCTAGCAAGTAGCAACAAGGTGAGTTGTAACGCGTGCACTCGTTAAAAGGACTTCTAAATGAAATAATTATCAATGCATGCAAAAAGACTATTCAAAAATTGCTTAATTACTAGTTATACATTGTTAATACCTCATCGTTCCCACAACCCTATTTGTGTATTTTGTTGCCCATGTTTGCAAGATCACCATTCATGTTTTTAGATGAAGAAATCATGATCTTACATAGTATGAAGAATAAACCTAGAAATTGCACTTGAATGGCAAATCAAAATCATCTAAACCAAATCTGAAAATCAATTAATTGCTAAAGTTGCAAAAATTAATCTCTAATACATAATCTAGAACAAGATTAATAATATTTAACCCCTCCCCCAAAGCGAGGTTTTTATCCCCTTTTTATAGAAAACAAAGTCTTCATAAGAAAGGAATTCAAATAAGGAAAGTTTTGTTCAAGCACGCGACTTCAATCAACGAGACTGAATGAAGGGTCGTCTATCGATTGACAGTCCGTGGATAGCTTTCATCAGCCAGGATTTAGAGAAATATATTTATCTCTGGATGGCATCATCTCTGAATCAAACGACGGAAGAACATCACGGTCCGTCGTTCCATCTACGGTCCATCGATGCTCCTCCGTGAATCCACACTTAGATTTTTCAAATATCAAGTACTGGAACCCTCGCAATCGGTTCACTTGTATGGTCCGTCGATCAATCAACGGACCATCGATGTCAATCGTGGTTCCACACTTGGTCAGATTTTCCTAATTTCCTTTAATGTTGGGGCTGATCATCTACGATCACTACCTATGGAGCGTCGACTGAACGACGAACTGTCGATTGCCTCCGTAAGTCTGTTTCTGCACTTCTTCAGTTGTCTTCTTTGTTTTCTGCCCGAACATCTTTCCTGCAAAACAAGACACAAAACTTGCAAACACCAATTAAAAAATGCTCTAGACACACACAACTCATAAGTGAAATAAACTAGAAATACTGTGAAATCATGGTACATCAACACCCTCAACTTAAATTCATTTTTTGTCCTCAAGCGACGCATTATGACCCTAAACGACACTTGCATGAATTAGGCACTTTAAGCTCTAGCAAGCACATGGATATCTGTTCCAACGCTCTCTTGATTAAGTGCAGGTCTACGCCTCAGTCTCGACAAGCTAACTCATGCGGATCATATCATGACACAAATTCACCATGCAATAGACACCTCTACTTTTTTTCTCACCAAGGTACCAATTTTCTCATAATGTAACTAGTGGCCTCACTTCAAACAAATTCCTCAGTTTTCACACAGTGATTATGAATTTTGGGTACAAGGATCTATTTGTACTCTCATGCTCAGGATTGAGTTCAAATACAATTATTGCTCCACACCATAAGCTTGCCCTTATCTTCGTTGCTTAAGTTCACCACACTAGTAACTAGGATCACGTAGGACTTTCTTGGCTTGTAACGTATGCTCAATGTAAGGTGTGGTATATTAACGGTGAAGCTTTCCACCTCTTTTTATTATTTTTGACCCGCTATTTCTTTTCTCTTGTTTCTTTTGCCTCATTTTACCCTTATATATGACTTTCACTTTTCTATATTTCTTTTTCAAAAAACTCTTTCTCCTCTTTTTATTTTTTTAAAATTGTTCTTTGTTTTCGTCAGGTCACATCCTTCTCTTACTTATGCTTTGTTTTCTACATACAACTTTTTCAACACTCATTTTCGGATCTTCATTCATAATATCCATCCCAAGCTCATGGCTTTACCATGAGTCGAGGGGAACAATACCCAATGTCGGGTCAGGGCCAAGACGGGGTCACTTTTTGCATTAGCCACCCTCAACTTAGGCTTTTGACCTAAGTTGAGGAGAACATGTCCAATAAAGGATTGGGGTCAAAACATTAGACCTTGGGAAGGAGAGTTGGTGAGAAAAAAATTGGTCTATTACAGGATCAACATATTTGGATCAAAGGGGACATTTAATTCATTTGGTCAACCTATTTTAGGCTAGATATGGGCTTTTCGGACAAAGGTCTATGATCACTGGCTAGCTTCTAGAGTAGATTTTCCT